CTAAACTTTAATACAGAAACTCCCACATTATGTTAAAATAACCGCAACGGCCAACAAGTAGTGCTCTTGACAGGCCAAACAGATTGCTGAATCAGATTGATTGTTCTGTGCATGTCTTAACCTGCTTTTGCCTTGACATTGTATTTCTCCGTCATTTCTTTTTACAAATACTTGCTTAGTAGTTTAATGTACAAAACATCTATTTTTTCCCCTGCTTAATTAGCACCAATGTCATTTGGTGAATCACTGCAAAATATGTTTGGCCCCATCATGTACTTATCAAAAAAAGACACCTGGTGTTAAATTTTCTGAAGTTTATATGCAACTATGCAAGTTTTCAAATTTGGTTTAGCAAGTCAAAATGTATAGGAGGTTAATCAATTCATTCATATAAGTCAATGCAGAATCTCAAGCCTTACAATCTTGTGTTTAACATTCAGTCTTTACCAGTCCAAATGCAAGTACACATGCCAATATAACTCTGAACCTAATGGTAGAAATACATTTGTTGTTCTCTATCCACTTTTGGAAGATAATTTGAAGAAAAACTGTCAAGGGCTGAGAATTCCTTTGAAAGACTCTAGCCTTGAGTTTGTTTAGGAGCTTGAATTAATGGTGTACAAGGAGTTGAGCTGCCTACTTATCAGCATGCTATTATTGAGAGCCATTTGGAATTCCAAGTCATCAGACCACCATTGCTGCAGCCTATGTGCCTCAAGAAACCTCTGCTTTCCTTTTGACACCACAAAAAGCTTTACTCCGGTTTGTCCATTTCTAAGTTTTGCTTCTTTCTCCTTATTACTATGGAAAATACTGTTTTGTCCTCCATCTGGATAATTATAGTAGTAGCAGATGTAGTCACCTGTATTAACATACAAATGAGGCATTGGCAGCATTTGCTTAAGTTCTGAAGTGATTCTTGATTCTGTAACTTCAGCTGCAGCCTCATCAGCACTCTTGCCTAGATTCTGTGAGTTAGAAGGAAGCATTGATTTGAACCTTTTCCATACAAATCCAGCTTTCCCACCCAAGATTCTAAAACTCATGGCCAATGAAACAGATGGTGGATTAAATAGATGTGCCTCTATATAAGTTCCATCTGCAGCTAACGCCTTATATACCTCGAGAGCAAAGCCAGCTCCTAACGAGTGCCCTGTGATGGACACATTCTTGCTTCCTTGAATATTGATGATTGATTTTATATCCGTTAAAACCCTGTCAAACCTGAAGGATCCTTTGAGACTTTCCCACGCTAGGTAACGTAGATCATCCTCGATATCTCTCCTTATTGTGGGGTTTCTCAAGAGTGTTCCTCTGATAGCTAATACCACCTTTGGTGCACCAGTTGGTCTTACAGGTATAAAATCAGCCAATGCTGCTGTTTGATCCCACTCCAAAACTGCAGCAAATATAGAACCATCTCTCTCATCTACAAGGACTTCAACTAGTTTGTACTTAAAAGGTGTCAACCACTGTGGTGCAAGAGCAGTTTCTGTGCTCCTATTTTCTTGCCTGTCAAGTTCGAGCAAGTATACTGCTTGTACAAAGCAGGCCATCGTTATTCTTTTGTAGCTTTCATCCTTCCTGCACATTAAGTTAATAAAGACATCATTATAAGTAGTACAAGGAATTCAGAGCGGAACGAAGAAGTCAAGGAAAAATGGTAACTAACCAACTGGAGCTGATGAGTTCTCTCCAACCGGGAGAAGAAATATGCTGAGGTCCCAATACATGGAATGCCTTGGGATGGTGGTGAAAAGAATGGTTTCTTTCCATGGATTTTTTTCTGAAGGACCAATATGTGTTCATTTGCGCACTTCTTTTTCTTATAAGGTCTCTTAATTAGGTGCACATATAATATGAGTGGCAACATTTGAGAAACCAGTCTTCATAAAAGAGAAGAAACACTCCTCCCCAGGCCTAGAAAGGGGGGACATGAGGGGGTTTGGGCTGTCACTTTTTCTTTTTTTATATTTGTGTATGGCATCGGATTCCAGTGAAGGTACAAATCTACTGTGAAAGAAATGAGAGGATAAGCCTTTCAATACAACTTAGTTATACATGTTATTAAATGATTTTCTAGATAGGGGACATAAAACTTAAACGACAAATTAAAAAGGATTGGAGGGAGTGTTCGTAATTTTGATAGTTTGTGCTAAAAGAGGTAAGTTTTATCTTGTCTTGGTAAAGTACAGCTACCTTTGCTAAATAAATGGTCTTGCAATAAGGAACCTATGCTTTGAACAATAGACATGGTTGGTCTATTCTAATTCCTAGACATTGCTTACAAGAGAATCTGATTCTGTTTTAAGCTGAAGACCTAAAAGAAAATAGCATTATGCTCTAGGAATATATCTCTTTCTCCCCTTTTTTATGGACGCACACATGTAGAATTACAAGAATTTATGCGTTAATGGGTGATTTGGAATATGTAATAAGATTGAGTTAGAGAAATGTGGTTTGCCATTTCTGAATGTCCTTATCCTAAGAATTATTAATTTCAGCCATCGTTATGTAATTACTGCTTCACCAAATTAATGAGATTTTAATTACTTAATTATAAAGCCAATTGATACCACAACGTTTTCTCTTGCCCTTACTTCAACTTATTCTTTTCTTATGCTACGAACTCTTTTAGTTGCTGAGTAAACTCCAATACTTGTTTCCCAAACACAAAAAATATTTAGATAGTTATTGATTTATGGAAAGTCCTACTATCTTTTTTTCAAACGGGTTTGTCAGAATATATGCCGGACACTTTCGAAACTTTAAATGAGCAAGCACTACTATTTTAGGGAAAGAAATTCAAACGAAACACTACGTGCTTTAAATAGTATATCCTTTTTAAGAAACCTACCTTAAGGAGCCTTGTTTAGTTTTTTTATAGCTTTGTTTAGTTGTTAAAAATCACTTTTAGGAGAATGGACACGTTGCTGCCTTGTCCGCAAGTCCAGATACAAAAGATAAACAGGGGAAGAGAATGTACTGCGTGTATTTAATCGAGACAAAGAATGCAAATATTGTTCGCACTAACTTTTAGATGCTCCTTTATCCTAATCTCTTCTTTGGCTAGTATAAAAGTGATTTTGGTTGATATTTTTAACCATAATATTTTTTATTTAGTACTACAAAATTGCATTAGTAAGATTATTTTCTATTTCCAATCTTAAATTTATTAACAAAATAAATTACTATTCATTTAATTTAAGTTAAAGTTTTACCGAATAAAATCCATAACTAGTGAAAAGCCAGTAATCTAATTAACAGGAGAAAAAATTAAAACGAGAAGGTCGTTATTATTCGGTTGTTAAGCAATCATTAATTTGAATTGTCCTTATATTATCCACAAATGCTTTTTCGCCTTGTTATAAGCAAAACCCTCTAAAACCCTTTTCCCTCTTCTTTACTAGTTCTCTGTGTCGATCACAAAGGCTTTTCTTCATCTTCAACCTCCGGCTACTTCCCAGCTAAAATGCCGCCCTCTAAAGGCAAAGGAAATGGGAAAAAGAAAGGAAAAGGGAAAGGGAGCTCCAAGAAAACAAAAAATACACTTTCAGACCCAACATCCAGCTGCATTTTCCCAAGAGAAATCATCTCCAATATCCTTTCTCGTCTCCCTGTGAAGACCCTTTTACGATTCAGGTGTGTTTGCCAGCCATGGCAGAAGCTCATTTCCAAACCCAACTTCATAGCCACCCATTTCCGCCATTCCTCTTCTTTGCAGAGTGCCACCTGTACTTCACCCATTTTTATACATACTCGCCATTTCAAGTCCTTTGATCATGTCCTCTCACTATTTGACCCGCACCCCGATTCATCATCGGTTGTGGAACTGGATAGCCCTTTTCCTTCCTACTTTCACGATATGTTGGTTGTAGGTTGTTGCAATGGCATTGTGTGCCTTTCTCAGCCACCTTGGGGTGAGATGATTACTCTTTGGAACCCAGCTATGAGGAAGTATAGGACGGTAAAGCTTTCAAACACCAAACCCCTTATGGGAATTCACTCTTGTGTTTCCATAGGGTTGGCTTATGATTCTCAAGAGAATGATTTATTGATCTTGAGTCTTTTGTGTTTCCGACCAGCTGAAACTAGACCTCCGGATGAAGTGGAAATGTGTTCGACTAAGAGTTTCAGCTGGAAGAAGATGAAAAATGAGGTGGGGTTTCGTGTTCTTGGGCTTATTTGCAATGTGATCATTAAAGGGGTACCTTATTGGAGAGCCATAGTAGAGGATGCGCATGGGTCACGTGAGGTGTTGGTGTATTTTGATGTGAGTAAGAAAGTATTTGACAAGTTACCTATGCCGGGAATAAGAGTGGAGACTGAGGGGTATCTTGTGAATTTAGAGGATTCTCTTGGTATGTTAATATGGGAGAAAACAGACAAAAATAATGTTAATGTTTGGGTAATGGATGATGAAGATGGTTGGAGCAAGAAATGCAATGTTGGAATAACATTTGGTTTTGACAGAATTTTGGGCTGTTTGAGGAATGGTGACATTGTAGCCGAGAATGAAAACAGCGTGTTGTTGTTTGATCCAGTGACTAGTTCAGTTAAGGCAAAATTCAGCATTGAGAATGCTAAGAAGGGTTCGTATGTGATTTTTGACTATTCAGAGAGCCTAGTTCTGATTGGAGGGATGCTACCAGTTAAGAAGGAAGCTGCTGAAGACAAATTAGCACGCGAAGACCTCCTAAAGTACGGTGATCAACTTGTGTCTATATTTTAAGTTACTATATGGCTTGCTTTGTGTTGTTTGCCCTCTTTATGATGTTGTCCTTTGTTTTGTTGTTATCATGTGCATATGTTTAACCAACTGTGAAACTATGATGGGTTCATTTACTGTGTGAACTTACTCTATGATTTGTTTACTTTATTCTACGCAATTAGTGGAGATGCCTGTGAGTTGCTGCTGTGGTTTTGGAAAGCATTTATGCCCAACTAACAAGTTTTTCTTCTCTCTTCCATCTGATAAATTGTGCTCTTGTAGTAACTTAATGGTGTGAAAATAGTTACAACATGAATTTCTGTCACTGCATGCAATTCTCTTATTTCCCCATGAAGTGTCGCGTTTGCCCTGCCTTGGTTTCCACTTCGCTTCTTTCAATTCCATTGGTTCCGAAGAGTTCTATTGATCTTGCAGAAGGACTTACCATCAAACAAAAGAAAAACAGATTAAGAGAACTATATTTCCTCTCTTGGCCTCTTTAGCTTTTCAGCTTGAATTTGGATCAATAATGGCAAGCGTAAAACTAAGAGAAGATTAACGGAAAACAAGAAATCCGCAATTAGGTCATTATTGTCTCACAACTGTGTGTGCTTATCTTTTTGTTATTGAAAAGTTTTCACAGTTTTAATTCCTGTGAGTAAGAGGAGACGATATTTGCAGCTATTCATTTGAAGCATCATGAATATCTGGAAAAACTACTCTCTTTGTATCCCCAGATTTTTTGGTGTTACCTTTATACAAGTGCCTGTGCAGATAATTCTATGTCTTCTTTCTTTATTTAGAATAAACGTGCTTACTTTTCTTTGTCTACGGAATTGGCTTGTTTTCCAATTCAATTTCAAAAATCAAGTCCCACTTGAAGCTATTTTCTCCCTTTCATGTCTTTCATAGTGGGCATTGTTTGAAAAAGACGTAGGCATGTTTCAAAGATGCATCATGTAAATCGAGAGTGTTTCCAGAAGATCTCAACTTCCCTGTTCACCACATTTATTTTCTAAAAACATAAAATCTTCCCTTTTGTCAACAGAAACATTTAAATGATCAGAAAAACATTTCAGCTTTTGTAGTATTTTCTTGTTGGAGCATCAGTTGTGTTGAGATCACTAATCAATGATTTCATTATGAAGAGATAACTAGGTCAATAGACATAGTATTATGATTGCTAGATCCTTGAAGTTTTATATCTATCTGCTGATATGAAAAATTTTATTTACTGATGCTATAGAACTCTGAGGCATCTGGTTCCATAAGCATTCTAACTATTATGTACGTGTAAGAAAGAGCAGGAAACAATAGTTTCTCTGAAATAATGCATTTGGATTGCTGGATTGCACTAATTAACAGAACCAAGGCTTCAAAAGAAAAAAGAAAATTAATAGAACCATGTCCTGTCAGGGATTTGCAACAATTCTGTTACTTATCTAGTCAATTGCAGAGCTTTTGCGTTTTCAGATTTTTTTTTTTTCTTGTTTTGGGTAAGTGTTTTAAAAGAATTCCTCATTTCCTCATTTATGAACTTCATACTTGTATATTCAAGTATGGATGTTAGTCTAATAGATGTTAATGTTGATGAACTAAAGCTTATGTTCAATGAAAGGCGCAATTGGTGTCGTTCCTACCATATTCGACGAATGAGCACTCTTTCTCAAATGGAGTATGAGACATCCATATCTTAACTTTTCAATGCTCCAAGATATAGCTTTAGTTTGACAGTCAGCATAAGAAGTCCTCTATTCATATGAAAGAATCTCCTTTTCATTTAATTATTTTCTAATTCAAGTTGCACTCGTTGGGCTTTCTCAGCTGGAATTTCCAGCATTGTTTTCCCATAGCTTATAAGCTCCTTGGTTGAATTGTGTCTTGCAATCTTCAAAAAATGAATTGACTTGTCATAACTTTGGGATCTTATTCTAGACATAATATTCTAAGTTATTTGGTGCATGGTTTGAGGTGCATGTTCTGAGTGGAAATGAGTAGCGGGCATGGACTGTAACAGAGGTGCTTCTGTTGGAAATATAATTTTGATTTTCTAGAAATTAAGTTTTAGGTTTATGTATTAGCATTACCAATGGGACATTTACAATTTCCAGGTACATTATCTTTTAGTATGATAAAGGTGCATTTTTATGTTTCAAAGTGACCAAGAAAAGTATTTAGTAGATGTGAGTCCAGAGGTTCCCTCTGGCACCTATAAATACCCCTTAGTGATGTTGTTATGTAAGAGTGAAATATTTAAATAGGATCAAGAATGTTCTTATGTTTATCTCCATTTTCAAGGAGAGCATTTGAAGAGTTGGAAAAATCTTTGATAGTATAATTTAGTGGAACATTTCTGTCATATTTAACTAGTGCTGATAAATGGATGCCATTTGTGGGGAAGCATGCTTTGTTGTG